ATTTGTAGGTAAAAAAATTAAAATTTAAAAAAAAAATAGTTAAAAATGCATAATTCAATAATTATTTTTTTAATATTTTTATTATTTATTAAATCAAAAATAGAAGGAAGTAAAGAAGTCAAAGAAAATAATGAAAATAATTTAGTTTTTGATTTAACACAAAGAGAAGTTATTTTGAGAAAAGTTTTGAGAGAAAGTTGGTGGTTTTTATTTAAATTATTTAAAATAATCTCGAATCTCATTTGTATTCTCCCCCCGGACAGAAAAAAGATAGACGTTTATGGGAGGGAGAGACGTGTACAAGTGTCAGTCAGATCTCCTTTGAATTAATTTAAATGCTGAAAGGAAAAATAATCTTTTAAGTTTTTAAATTCTGTCCATAAATTAAACAAAATTTAATTTTATCCAAAAAAATATTTAATTATTTTGCACATTTTTAAATATTTTATCTAAATTTTAATTAAAAAACAGGTGGATTTAATACAGAAACAGAAATTGATGAAGTAAGGAAATTTTTTTAGATTTTAATTAAAAATATTTTTTAGGCAATAATAGAATTAGGTCCTCCTCCAAAGAAAATTACAGAAAAAATTGATAGTGAGGAAGTAATAAATTAATGCACAAATTTAAATAAATAATAATTAAATAAATATTTTTGAAATTTAATGAATGTTTTTAAATAAAATATTAATTGTAATAATTTAATTTTTAAATAAAATTTTAAAAAATAACAATTTTGTTTTGTTAAATAATTATTTAAATATTATTAGAATTATATGGGTGAAACATTCTCAGAGCCTGCTAAACATCCAAAAAACATTTTGGCTTTCTGGCCTTAATTCTTCCGTATTTTAGGTATATATTTGCCAAAGTAATTGGGACAGGGATGAGTATGAAGACTATGGTGGAGAGAACAGAAATTCCCTCCCTTTCAGACAGTTACTTTCCTGTGGGTGAAGTCAAATATTGAATTTAAATAAATATAATGAACTAATTTCTAAAAAATATTTTGTTTAAATAAAGAATCAATTAAAAATATAAAAATAATAAAAATTAAAATATATTTAAAATTAAAAGTTAACTAAATAATATATTTTTATTTAAAAAGCAAAAATCACTTTTTATTAATTCCAGAAAAACCTGAAAAATAAAAAGAGAGAAGATGGACAACCGGTTATATTTTAAATTGTTTGAGATATTGAGGATATATATATTTAATTATAAACATTAAAAATTATATGTGGTCATTTTTTATTAATATATGTAGATATTCATTTATTAATTAATGCTGAATTAAGGAGTTTTTTTATCTTTATTTTTTTCAATTAAATTTCGGAACTTTCTTTAACAAAAAATGGATGGGAATTATGTGTGTTAGTTAGTTAAATTCCTTAAATTCCTCCTTTATTAGTGAGGGCGGCCATTAGTCTTGGATTTTGGTTTAATTTAAAGTTTAGTTTTTCGAAAATGAGAAAGTAATTTAGTCTATAAAATACTAATCAAACCAGATGAATTTAATTTTCTTTCCTTTTCATTTTTTTATTGTACATAATTAAATAAAAATTTATTTCAAATTAGAAAAATGAAAAATATTTTTCACCAACTACAAACTACAAAACAATTTCCATTTAAAAATTTATTTAAATTAATTAAACGTTCAATTTATTTCATTGCTATAATTGTTAGTATTGAATGGATTTTAAATAATTTATTTGAAGAAAATTATAGTTATAGTGATGAGAATGAAGAAAATGATAATTTTTATAACCCAAAAACTATAGGTAAAATAAAAAAATTTTTTAAAGAAGAAATGAAAGGAAAGACGAAACACGAAATTTAAATATTCTCTGACCCATATCTTACCTTTCTTTCAAATAAGGTTAGCGGTTTCGGATATCCGGAACCAAAAAACCCGGATATCTGGAAATTTTCGGCTATGATATTGGTACCGGTTCCTGGTATTAGAGGAACTGCCAAACTTAATCCCTGATCCCCTTTATCAATTAAAATAAGCCCATTTTTAATTTTTTACTTGTTCTTCGTCTTTAATAAAAACAGAAGATCGTTTAAAAATAAACAATTAACTAGTTTAAATTACAAAAATAAACTTTATAGAAACATTAATAAAAGAACAAAATTTAAAAACTCCAAATATCCAAATTAGCAAACAGAATAATTGGAAAATAGAAGATAATAATGAATGGCTGTTTTTTACTTACGAAAAAGTTTTTTAAATTAAATTTTAAATTTATTATATTTTAATAGGCAAAATGTAACAAATTAATTCTTGTAAAAGGCGAAATAAATAAATTTACAATATGTCACCCTCCAAAAATAATTTGGAGATTAATTGAAAAAGTAATAAATTTTTAATTTAATAGGGCCGTTAAGGCGCAGAGATTTTGGAGGGGGGGGGCGCAAACTAAAATATTTTTAAAAATCCTGGAAATTATTTTCTTTAAAAATTTCTCTTTTTATTTTTTATTTCAGAATTTAAACTTTCCAAAAACATCTAAATAAAATTAAGATTTTACGAAAATTTTTAATTAACTTATTTCAATAAAAAGACCAATGCCCTAGTCCTCCCCACGCCCAAACATCCCTCCATTTAAATATACCTAATAATTTTTAAGATTTCACCAATAATTAACTTATTTACTCAAAACGATATTAGTAATGCTTTTATTGGAAATTTGGTAATTTTTTTAATTTCTTAGAAAATTAAAAAATGATTTTTAGGTATATTTTATTAATGGGGAAAGAGATAATTTATTTGAAAAAAAGTTAAAAGCTTTAATTGGAAATAGAAGTAAATTGAGGGTTTTTACTGAGGTAATTAAATAAATACTATATTAAAATTACATATACCTAATTAAATAAAGGAATTTTATAAACCAAAAAAAGTTGCGACAAAATTTATTAAATTAATATTTGAAAGAGTAAAAATATTTTTTAGAAAATTTAAAAAATAGATAGAGAATCTATGTAGACGTGAATTCAAGAATTAATTAAGTTTTGGAAGCTCTTAAAGTTTTTCTTTGAATTTTTCTGTTTTTAAAGATTCTTTAAACCAAAAATTAAAAAACTAATATTTTTTCAGTTTAATTCAACAATTAAAACTTATTTTGTTCCCGATACATTAGAAAATATACAAGTTAAAGCCTTTACAGAAGAAAATAATAAACAAAATAGAACAATTGGAATTAAAGATTTAATTGATTCTAGAGATGATTATCATCGAATTGAATTTATTAAATTTGAAATGAAAAGTAAGAGAGGGAGGGGGGGGGGGTTAATTAAATTTTTAAAAAATAAAGTATAATATTTCTCTCCTCGTTAGACATTTTAAGTCTGTTTAAAGAGTATAATTAAGGAAAAATAAATATTTTTATTAAAAAGATATAATTATTTTCAAAATAAATTATTAGGTAGATGAGGGAAGGATAAATAAATAGTACTTTTAAAAGAAAGTTAAAAAGAAGAAGTATCGAAACCTTTAGGAAAATATATAAAAAATTTAAGTCTCCCTAATTCTCGTTAAAACCTTTATTTTCTACTAAATTTTTAAGATAAAGTAGATCCAATAATTTTTTCTATAAATATTCCAATATTTGCTGCACATATTCTTTTAAAAATTGAAAATTTTTCTTATGAAGAATTTCGTTATTTAATTAAAAGAATGGCTAATTCACTTTATTTTCCTTATTTTGTAAGTTTTATTTTTTGAATTAATTTAAATATTTTTTTTAATTTTTTAGATTGAAAAAGACAAAAAATTAAAATTAATTTTTATATCTTTTATTCACAAATATTCAATGTATAAATACCATTTTTCTGAATTAATACCTGCAAAATGGACTTTAGAAGAACATGTTTAAAAATCTCTTTATTTTTTATCTATTTACCTCATTGTTTATAATCCCCGTGTCATTATTTAATATGTAGAGATCGGATTTGGAGGGATGTCTTGGATAGCAGGAGATTTGGAGGAAAATATCGAAAAAATTTCCGGGTGGGCTCTAGTATGGATAGAGTTCGAGAATTTGGTCACTAAATTTTTGACTAAAAAACTCACCGAAAAATTTTGGTAACTAAATTACAAGTGAATAAATATTCCAGGCTTAGATTGCTCATTTAGATTTTATTAAATTCCTATAATCTGATCTTTGATATATAAGATTGATTCTCATTAAATATTTTTTATTAATTTTAAATATATAAATCGAAAAGTGAATAAATGTTAAAAAAGAAAACAATTTCTATTAAGACGTTTAAAAGCTAATGTTCAAAAATTAATTTATTTATGTAACTTTTTAATTTCAAATTCACTATAAAATTTGTTAATTAAAATAGTTTCTGTATATAATTTGCTTTAAACAATTTTTGAACTATTAACAATTTTTTAAATTTTGAGCAACAATTTATAAATTATTCTTTAATTTAAAAAATATCGTTCTCTCTCTCTTTATTTTATCCTCTCGATTACAATATTTTCTTTATTTTTATCAGCAAAAAATGTTTTAAAATGTTCATAAGATCCAATCATTATAGCACATGCTGGAGCTACACGTGCTACTCTTGGAACTAACCCTTTTTAATTAATTAAATTTATATATTTATTTTTTCCTCATCAATTACCTGTAAATATTGATTTTATTCCTTTTGTTTTAATTAATTCTTTAAATATTGGGAAAACACCCTTTTTACTTGTTGTTGTTTTTGGGGAAGGAGATATTCTTTCATCTTCAAGATTTATTTTTTTATTATTTAATTGTCCCAAAGTTATTTGTTGATGTGTTTTGACAACATCAAAAGGTAGTGTTATTATTGAGGCTATCGCTCCTATAAAGAGACATTTTCATTTTAATAAAAGTGTGAAACATTTTTAATTTAAAAAACAAATTATTGACTTAAAATTGACAAAATTTTTAGGTTCTTATGAAAGTTCTCTCCCTCAAAATTTTTATTTAGTAACTAAATAATTCAAGGACAACCAAAGCCCAATCGATTTCAACAATTACTAGGAAATTTGACTTTTTTTTCTCTCCCTCATGATCATTTACCCTTTAGAATCCCGTATATTTTTATTTGCATTAAATATTAAAATAATCTCAACTTTAATATTCTAAAAATCCTTTCTAAAATATATTTTCAAAATATTATTACCAGCTAATGATCCAAATAAAAAACTATAAGTAAAATTAATTCTTTCAACATTTAAAAATAATAAAGATTGTTGTTTAAAAGTTTCATAACAAGTCCAATAAATAGCTTAAAATATTATTTTAAATATATTTTAACAACTAAAACCACCAGAAAAAGGAATATCACGTAACATTGTGGCTGTCCAACCACGCCATAAAGCACTATAACCGTCAGAACGGATAGTTCTTGAAATTGCTGATATTAATTCTAAATATTTAATTAGAGAATTATTTAAAAATTTATTTAAACACCAAAATATGAAAGTTTTTCTGACTGCATTTTTGTTCGAATTAATTCTAAAGGAGAAACAATTGTAACAGAAGATGCTCGAGCTAATGAACCTGCCAATAATGGAGCAAAAAAGCTTTAAAAATAAATTAGTTGTTAATGAAAAGTTTTCAACAAAAAATTTCGTTAAAAATTATTTAAATGTTTTCCCAAATAATTTCTTTCAAATCCCGACCCCAAATTTTAAAAATTTAACATTGTTAAGGATTAATAAATATTTTCTGTTTACCTTTTACTTCCTATCCTTTCACGTAAAATATTATGTAAATTGTCATATAAAGTAAAATAAAAAACTGTGGCTGGCACAGCACTAAGCCTTAAAAATATTTTTTAGAAAAATAATTCAAAAAAATAATTTTTAATTATCTACATTGTGGGGGATAACCCACTCCATAAAGAACGAATTCCTTCATTTCTAGTAATTTTAATTACAGCATCCTAAAATTAAAAAAAAATATTTGTAAAATTTTAAAAGACTCATACAAAAGTTCCAGTGAAATGACCAGGTCTATTAAACCATTCACATTTTTGAGCATTTCGGAATCCGTTGGTTGTTACGCGTTCCTCGCATACTCTACATAAATGATCCATTAAACCTGATAAAAGAAAATCTAGCCAATTAAATTTCCCACAGAAAGGAAACGTTGGTAGTTTAGCCGTTGTGTTTATTAATTATAAGCTTACAATAGTTTAATTTTTGTTTGCCCTCGCTTAATCTAGCACACAGTTACCCGTTTTACATTAACGTAAAAATTTCCCCCCGAAAAGTATGTGGAGTTGAGGTATCAGGCTCGATAGAATATTTTTATCCAGTACTGGTATAAAAATACACACCATTAGAATAAAGAAAGCATTCACCCTTAACCAAAGGCCGGACTTGGCTTTGAAGTCTGATTTTAACGACATCCATCGGAGTGACTAGAAGCGATGTGAGCAATGCACCAACAGAAGAGGCTAAAATATTATAGTACGTATAAAGATAAAATAAAAAATAATAACCAAATAATTGTTGAGGCAATGAAATATCACCAGAATTAGTTGAAAATGTTCTTTTTGGATTTAGACCATTTTTTGCTATTTTCTCTGCCCCTAACGAGATCATTCTCTAAAAGTAAAATAATTTTTTAGAACTTTCAGAATTAAATTTTTAAATAGATAAAATTATTAATTTTAATATTTCAAAAAACAACAAGACTTTATCAATTTTTTATTCTTTAAAAGAACTCAATTTATAGCAAAACACACCAAAGAAAGCATTTAAAATAATAAAGATATAGGTAATTTAACCAAAAGAGCATTATTGAAGCATTTATGAAAGAAAGGTTTACAAAAAAACTTATAACCACGCATAAAAATGAGTAGAAATATTTACGTAATTTTTTTTTGAAGGGAAAAAGTAATTTCAACAAATAAACAACAAAAATTGGCCGAATATATTTTTTAAATTTATTTATCACTATTTTTTATTTATTCATTTTCTTGAATATTTAATTCTTTTTTCTCACTGGTTTCAGCATCACCGGTCTTCTCTTCAACAAATCTTCTTTTCATATTAAATGCTTTTCTAAATTTATCTTCATATTCGTCAGCAATTCCGAGACGTTCTTCTGCAGGCACACCAACTATTAATTTATGTAAATCATCTCTTTTATTAGCAATTGAATCAATTCCAACTGCTATATCGCTCAATAATTTCTGAAAATAAAAAAAATATTTTTTCAAGTTTAAAAAAGGCCAAAACTTACACTAAATTCATTAATTAAATACCAACGTTCAGCAACACTTAATCGATTGCGAGTGACCAATGCATCTGCATCCGGGTTCTTCCAAAAGTCCAACGCGTAACTATTTTTGTAGATCTAATAAAAAAGAAAAATTGTTTCTCAAGAAATATCGAGTAAAAAATCAAAAAGAAGAAACCTTCCGTCCGCGATGGTCAAATCTATCGATATAAACGAAAGGAATAAATCTTTCATCAAGTTGTAAATCACTGTTAAAAACTGAAGCAAAATCGATTTGTCCTCTACTTAAATGTAAAGACTCTTCAGTACATCCACTCAAAGCAATAATTGGATTCTTAAACAAAATATATTTTTATAATCAACAATTTTAAAATTAAAAAAACCTCAAGTCTTCGATTAATTGAACCCAATTGCAACGAAGCTAATGCAAGTTCCTCAACAGATTTATTATATTCATTTATTGAATCTTCAATACTGTCGGGAAGTGCAGGAAGGACAGGCTACAAAAACATTTTAAAATATAAAAAAATATTATTTTCCAAAAAACCTCTTTTTCTAAATTTTGTTCATCAACAACGTTTAAAGACACAAGTTTTTGAGTAAATATATGTGCCAATATAAAAATTATATCCTCTTTAGCTTTTGTTCTATTATCTTCGTGATAGAGATCTTCATATGTTGTATGAATATAACGATGTAAAACGCCTGTTTGAAGAATATGAATGAAAACAAGACTGCCAGGATCATACTGACTCAAATGTAAGGCAAAATGAGCAAAACCTCGTGGAATGCACTAAATTAGATGAAATATTGTAAAAATATAATTTAACAATAAAAACCTTTTCATCCAATAATTGCATTCTTCTAAGCAATTGAACATAAAAAAATGTCAAAAATCTTAATAAATTACTAAAATTCCTATTATGCGTTTGCAAAACAAAAGGCACTTTTAATAAAGTTAAAGCAGCCTAAAGAAGAAAAAATAATTACAGAAATCAATCTAAAAGTCCAAACCTTTCTTCGCACTTCTTCATTTAAAACGTCATTATTGTCTATTTTTGAAGATTTTCCACCTCCCTGAGTTCTTGCATTTTTCAATAATTTTTGTTGTTCTTTAGATAATTCTCCATTAACAAAAGAAATTAATCGAAGAAGAAATGCTGTTGTAAAGGGTACATTTCCTCTTAACGTAGCAAGACTAGCTGTAAGTAAACGTCGAATTTTACTGAAATGACAATTTAAAAGGAAACTTAAATTTTAAACTTTGTTGGAAGTGACATGAAAATAACAGTTCCAGCTGGATCAAAACCTCTACGTCCGGCACGTCCAGACATTTGACGAAATTGTAGAGGATTGAGTTTTGGTGTATCAATTCCAAATATAACAGTTTTGCAGGGCAAGTTCATACTAGAAAAAAAAGTTTAAAAATTGTTAGAAAATATACCCAAGTGCAAGTGTTGATGTTGAAAAAACAATCCCTAAAAATCCTCTACGAAAGAGCACTTCAACTGCTGAGCGTTCTGCATTAGAAAGACCATCATGGTGAAAGCCAATTCCGCGCTCAAAAAGAGTAAGCAAAGATCGAGCTTCAGGTCGTTTTATCTTTTTACTTAATTTCTCAATACAACGGTTGTAAATATCTTCATCGCTCCAACGGCAACACAATTTGAATCTTAAAAATACAACCTCATTAGCATACAAGGGAAGAAGAGACAAGAACAATTTTTATTTTACCTTTCCAAATCCTCACGCATACGAATTTTCATTAATGCAAACGCATCGCCATCTTCTGGCATATCATCCTTTTCGAAACGATCTTCATTACCATCTTCATCAACACGTTTACTCTTTCGTTTTGCAGCACGCTCTTCCTCATCACGTTTGCGTTTTGCCAATTTTAAAGCTTTCTGAAATTTAAAAAAATTAAATAAATTAATTTGACAAATAACCTCTTCGGCTTTTAAATTATATTTCTTTTGGAATTCTGGACTAGCTTTGTAAGTTTCTTCTCTTTTCTTTAATTCGTTAAAAATATGCTTTGCCAATTTTTCACAAATATCACGATCATCATTGAAACAAAGTGCAGGAAGTTGCTCTTTCCTTTTGAGCTGATCAATCAAAGGCAATATATTGTTTAGAGCTGATTTACGCTTAAATTTAATGTTATTGAATAAAAGTGTATAAAAATAATAATCGAACCATATCATAAGGCTTTGAACGTTTTTCAAATTCTTCACCAACTTCTTTCTCTAATATTTCAAATATTTTATCAATTTTTGTTTTATCTTCATTCATCCATTGAACAAAACGATTTTTGAGTGCATTTTCGAATTGACGCAAATCTTTTCTGTTTAACCAAGCAGCACCGCTATCTGGAGATTTCTCATCAACACGACATAATTGAGTAAAATATTTTGTTGGTTCAAAATCTTTTCTAAAAATTTTATAAAAAACAAAAATCTTCACAATAACTCACTTAACACTATCATCGATGTTAGCCATAAATTCGTAAAGTTCGAGAATCTGACGTGCAGTTAAACGTTGATCAGCAGGAATGCCGAACATTCGAAGCTTTTCAAGTTTATAAACAGCGAATGGATTAAAATATTGCACTACATCATTCCAGTCTGCTCTATAAAATGAAAAGAATTTCATAGAAATGCAAGGGAGTACCAGGGGAGAGGGGGAGGGCTTGGAGCAGAAAATAATTATCTAATTTCAGCCCCCTTAACTACATGCTTATATAACTACATAGTCAAAATCTCGGTTTTTTAATTTAAAAACAAACTTCGATTCATCTTCTTTCTTTGATTCAGTATTTTCTTGCTTTGATTCTCTACCATTTTCTTCACTTACTGAATCCTTTGAACAAACCTAAAAAAACATAAGCAAAACAAATAAAAAAAAATCTTACCGAAAGTCGTTGCAAACTCAATTCTAATTCTGACCATCGTTCATCATAAGTAATTAATTCAACTTCTCGTGCTGGTAACCCCTCCAAAGGCTTTGCACATTCAGCGGATTTCAACCATTCTTTTAACTCATTAATATTAGAAATTGTTGCAGAAAGTGCGAGGAAAGGACAGCGAATAAGTAAAAAGATATGTTCCCAAACATCACCAATTGAACGCCCTTGAGTGTCTTTTTGACTAAATTTATAGACGTTATCCAAAAATTTTTTTTTAAAACAAACTTGATGCAGTGAACCTCGTCGAGAATTACATATTTAATTCGAGAAACAAAAGATTGACAACGAGGATCAGAAGAAAGCAAAATTTGCTCAAAACATTCAGGAATAGTTACCAAAACTTGACAATTCAAAACATTATCAATAATTTCATTATTAAAAATTCCGTAAAGAACTTTTCCACTTGACATTGCTTTCCCTCGAAAACGTGCATAAACAGAACCAACAATCTAAATATAAGCAGAATTGATTTAAAAACATAAAATATTGAGATTAATGAGAAATGATTAAACATATCAAAACATTTAGAAAAATTCTGGCCGAAATGGCAACCTGATTTGTCAGTGGTTTTGAAGGTGAAATATAAACAACAACGTCGTCGTCACTTTTTCTCAAAACTTTCTCAATACAATAGTAGGAGACAAATGTTTTACCAGCTGAAGTTGGAGCCACAATTAATGCACTTTTATCTAAAAAATCAAAGTAAATATCAAAACTAAATTTAATTATTTCAAATTCAAACCTTGATCAACAGCATCAAGCATCTTTCGTTGCCAAGCATCAGGGCTAAACCCAGTAACACGATCATCTTTTTTTGTTGCCAATTCCGTCAAAACATCAATCATTCTACCTCCATATTTTAATTGATAATGAATTAAATCTATTTGTAAATCCATTTGTTTGTCTGGTCGACGCTTCAATGATTCTGCTTTTCCAAATCCTAAGGATGCCCAAAGATAGAGAATCTTAAATTTTTTAGAAACACATAAAAAAAGAAGTCAAAATATCAAAAACCTTTTCTTTTTGTTGTTCATCAATAAAATTAAAATATTTTACAAACATCGCCTTAACAGATTCGACTAATCCAAGTGCTCCTTCTCTTTTTTGATTTATATCTTCAAATGAAGTTAATTGTTCAGAAAAAACATCGGCATAACGAATAACTTTTTGATACATACAAAGAGCTTTAGATTCGTCTAAATCTAAACGTTTCAACAATTCATCCAATGCATTTAAAGTCTAAAAATGTTTTTAAAAAATATCAAAAAAATAATTTTAAAGATACATTAGTTTTTAATCTCGTGGCATATTCAATTTTAAGCTTATCACTTTCTATTTGTTGTTTTCTTTTTGCATCAATATTTTGCTGTAAAATTTGTTCTTTTTTACTTAAACCACCAGCTCCCGGCTTTCCTCCTAAAAGTTAACACAAAAACAATTTTTAAAATATAATTATCAAAACCTTTCTTTGCTCCTTTCCCTTCCTTTTTCTGAACATTTTTCTTGCTCATTTGTGAAGACGGACGGCTATTTTCATTATCCGTATCCTCAGTAATTGCTGAAGCCTTAACGACACGAGAAAAATCGACGAGTAATTGGCCTCCCTGGCCTTCCAAAGAATCAGAAAAAAGTTGATACCTAAAAATTTTAAATATTCTTAATCAACATTTTACAAACCATGCTGATAAATTTTGTCTCTGCCAAATTAATTTCCTCGCCTTTCTCGCATCCTGAAGTTGTTTTTTCTCATATTCACGTTGCTTCTCTTCTTGTAACATTAAAGAGTCGCCAATAGGCTCAAAATTCCACCTGTATGCATGTTCAATAATTTTCGCATAGTCATGCTCAAAAGTTGTTAAAGGAACGACTTTTGTGTCAGTCAACAACTAAAATTTATTATTAAAAAATTAGAAAATTAACTCGACCGATTGGACATCAGGAATGTATTGATCCAAAAATTCATTTTTAATTGCATAAAGTTGACAACGATCCATTCTTGTCGATGGAGCCTCACTCGGTGATAGTTGGTCAAGTAATTCTTCCTTCACATCTGTTGGAATTGAAACTTTGAAGCCAACAATTCCATGAAGATCCGCAAATTCTTTTTGCAGACGCAAAGGCAAAATCTGATTAGAATTTTGGGTACCATTAATATGGCAATGCCCGTTTAACTCTAATATATTATTTGCTTGCTCAAGACCTTCCGAATTAGGAGGATCAAGGGGATCTCCCTCGCCAGCGTTTTGACTGGAATGGCTCTTATTTTGATTGTGTTTTTTGCGTTTATTTTGAGCATTAATTGCCTTTTTGTGCTTTAGTTCTTCTTGTCTTTCCTTCTTTCGATCTTTTTGTAAATCAACTTTTTTGGGTTCTTCTATTTTGGTTATTATGGGCTCGTTTGTTTTGGACTTTTGGGGTCCTTTTGGTTTGGAATTTTGGGAATCTGTATCATCCTGGGAATCCGTTTTGATCTAAAAATATTCAGAACAGTAAAAGAAATTAGACATTCACTCTCCACAAATTAAAAATAATTTTAAAAATTTATAAAACAAACCGTCTTTTTGTCTACAATTTTCTTGTATAGAGAGAGAACCATACGCCCATCCCATAAATCTTCTAGGGGAAAATTAATGCACTGAAAAATTTTTCGAAATCACTCAATTGTTTATTTTAAATTAAATACCTCAGAATCCAATAAAGATTGCTCCAAAAAGGCCTTTCCTTTAAGCTGTAAATATTGAAATTTTTTAAGCGCAGGATCATTTCTCCAATTGTTCTCTTCCTCCTCCAAATACTTCCTTCCAGTTCCAAGTCTTGCGCAAACCGAAGCAGACAAAATAACAGACATACAAACATATTCAAAATTATCATCCTTTTTGTCATTATCCTTCATAGCTTTACAAACAACATATGCCCAAAATTGTGCCGCAGTTTTACATTCACAAACTTGTTTTTGGATTTGTTGTTGAATTTCAATTTTGTTTAATTGCTTTTCTTCTATAAACAAAAATTAAATTTAAAAAAATCTGAAAAATAAAAAAAACCAGATATTTTCGTCCACAAAGCAGCAATCTTTTTATTTAAATTTGCAATATTTATCGGCACTGTAGAAAAACGAAAAGACATAACAGAAGTGAAATTGATAGTAAATGCATTAAATAATACAACAGGGATTGCTTCATTAATTAATTGGAACGCTAAAAAATAAAAATAAAAAAATTATTTTTTAAAAAAAAATCCAAACATGTTGAAATAAAAAAACTGGCAAAATCAATATCCTCATAAACTGTTATTTGCTTCTTCTTTTTATCTTTTTCATCAATTGTTAATTTTTCAATTCCAAAAATTTCCCTTGGAGAAGCATTTTCTAATGACATTAAAATAAATGAAGGCGTTAATTGATGGAGAAAAACATTCCAACGTTTATCAAGCGGAGAATTAAAAATTTCAATGTCTCCACTCCATTTACTTGAAGTTAAAAATCGTAAAAGATATGAATACAAAAACGATAAATATCCATTTTTGTTGAACAAAACACTCAAATCAGAAAATACAACAATTTTGAATTTTGCATTTAATTCTTCTAACGCACAGAGGAAGTGTTTTAACTAAAAATGTTTTTATTTAAAAATTCAAAATCCAAAAAATGTTATTCAAAGCATAAATTATAAAATTAAATATGAAATAGTAATTTTCTAAATATTTAAAATCGCAAACCCAATTCTAAAAAAATTTCTCTAATTCTCGAAAGCTCCCTTGGATGGGGGTATTATAATCAATGTAAAAAAAACGAAAAGAGAAAATTTCGTTTTATAACAACCTGTTCGCTAATAACAATAGTTTGGCCACCCAAAATCCAATTATGATATCGATAAGCACATAATTCCAAAAGTAAAGAATCGAAAGAAATGAGGAAAATCTCAACGTCCGCAAATTCTGTAATAATATCGACATACGGACAGGGAACCAGCTTTAATGTGTTGAGATTGAGTTCCAAGTCCCCTGCAGATTTTTGCAAAAATTTTGAATAAAAGAAAATAATAAACCTTTAACTGCAATATTCTCATCAATTTCACCTGTCTCTTCCATTATTAGAAGTTAATGAAATTTCAACAATCTAAACTTCTTAAAAATTAAATTTTAATCGCTCTGAACACTATTTGGCAATCTTAACTACTTAAAGCTATCAATAGACATAAAATTTAAACGAATTTAAGTAAGAAAGTCTTGAAGATTTCTACATTTTGTGAAAAAAAAATTAGTTTCAAAAAAGAAGTTTACAAATTGAAATATGTAAAATGAAAGTAAAGGTCGATTCAGTGGCGCCGATAGTCTAGGCAAAAAAGGGAACGGTAAAATAAATTTCGCTCAAGTTGTGTTAGGGCAAAAACAGAACAAGTAAATATCCCAACAACTGTTGATTTAAACATTAGTGCTAGTCCCCGTCTCCGAAAGTCGGGGAATTTGAGAAATTTTTTGAAACCCCCGTCGGGAACCAACCCTATTAAAGACCCTAATCTTGTTAAATTTGGCATTTACAATATTTAATGATATAATAATCATTATCATTTTATAATAGCAAAAATATGTACAATATAAATGAATGAATTAAATTTAAAAAATATTTTCAATAATTTCATTGAGGTACAATAACATTGTTTTTATTTGAAAATGCTGTATGTGCTATTTGATTATTAATAGTAGTTGATATATTTGCACTATTACATTTGAAAATCAGTCTTCTATAATTTTTAACAGTTAATAAAGTTACCTTAAAAATTAATTATTAAAAATATTTTTAAATCCAAAAAATTACCAAAGGATTTAAAACAGAAATTAAACCATTAATTGGAGGTCCAAACATCATAATAACTTTCGAGCTTACAGTTATGTTGAAATAAGGTCCAAAATTTACTAATATTTGAGAGAAAGATGTTATTAAAGGTAAAAGTGCCTTAATTGAGAAAAAGTGTTAAATATTAAATAAATATTTATAAATTATTTGCTTACTCTTGAATATACGCTCCATTAATTCAGAAAAGGCCGCAAATAAATTATTTGAGTTAGAAAGTTATTTAATAAAAAATAATATTCATGTAGCTTTTTTATGTGAGACATGGCTAACTGATCATATATCAAACGAATCCCTTCTCATTTCTGATAGCTTTGACTTTATGAGAGTAGATAGGTTAAAAAGAAGAGGCGGCGGCGTAGGCGTAATTTATAAAAAGGATATAAAAATTATTAATATTCCGACTCTTTCAATATCCGAATACAATTACGAACTCCTTACCCTTGATATATACTCAGAATTTAAAAGAATTAGATTCCATTTAATATATAGGCCGCCAAATACAAAATTAGTTGATGATAAAAAATTTTGGGAATTAATAAAGAAAAAATATAAAAATGATCTCTCAAATATTATATTAGGGGATTTAAACCTTCCCAAAATAAATTGGCAGGATTTTACACTTCAGAAAGATAATCAAAACTTATATTTCTACAATACCATGAACAAGCTAAATTTAAATCAGATAATAAAAGAGGCAACCATGTATAATACTTCCCATACACTAGACCTTATCTTACAAAATAAGCAATTAATAGATAAATACGAAATTATAGAAAATTTGGTTTTGAGTGACCACAAACCGATAGTATTTGAATTAATTTTTCCATTCGAAAAAATAACATCTAAAAAGAAAAGAAACGTATTTTTATTTAAGAAAGGGAAATATAAAATAATAAATTGGTACCTAGCTCAATATAACTGGAACAATATACTTAATAAAAAAAACCCCTCAGAAATGGCCGAAATACTGAATTCAATAATAACCCAAGTAATTCAAAAATTCATCCCTATTAAAAAATTTGGTGAGAAAACACCCATGAAATACCCTAAAGAGATTAGAGAAATAATCAAACAAAAAGCTGATGCATGGAAAAAGCTAAAATTAGGGGAAATTAGTAAAGAGAATTATAAAAGTCTTGAAATTAAATGTAAATTACAAATAGGAAAATATAAAAACAACTATCTATCGAAAAAAATAGGATCTGGACACATAGGGGAAATACATAAATTAATGAAAAGAAATCGATTTAACTTCTCTGGTATACCTATACTTAAGGAATCTGAGGAAGGCGACCCCATAATATCCGACACAGACAAAGCAAATAAATTTAGAAATATTTTTGAAGAAATAGTTAGTGGAGGTAAAAACAATATACAAGCAAGCCTCGTAGCTGAGGACGAATATCAGGAAGAAATCACTTTTGAACCATATATAATAGAAAAACTATTAAAAAAGCTCCCAAATAAATTATCCCATAGTCCTGAGAATATCAACCAATATTTTCTAAAAAAATGTGCTACCCCCTTAGCTCTCCCTCTCTCAATTTTATATAAAAATACATTTAAAACAGGAATAGTCCCTGAATTATGGAAAACAGCCCACATTCTACCGATATTTAAAAAGAAGGGTTCGGTAAACGACCCAAAAAATTACAGACCAATTGCTTTAACATCCCCGACTTGTAGAGTTTTTGAGCGTATTATAGCAAATAATATCTTAGAACACCTTAACAAACAAAAATTAATCGCAGAAGAGCAATTTGGATTTTTACCGAAAAGCTCTTGTACAATTCAAATCTTATCATCGATGCAAGACTGGTATAGTTCACTTGACAGGAAAATAGGTACAGATGTTATATATTTTGACTTTGAGAAAGCCTTTGATAAAGTAAACCACGAAATACTTATTAGAAAAATGCAAGAATTAAAAATAGATAGGTTAATAATTCAATGGGTTGCGAATTTTCTCTCAAATCGATCACATAGTGTAAAAATAGAAGAACATTTTTCCGAACCATTTATCCCAAAAACAGGAGTCCCACAAGGGACAGTCTTAGGTCCATTACTTTTCTTAATTTATATAAATGACCTTCCAAAATATATTCCACAAAATGTTAAAGTAAAACTTTATGCGGACGATTTTAAGATTTATTCAGAAATTAAGACGGAAAAGGACTGTATAGAGTTACAGGGGGCTATAGACAATGCGTGTAAATGGTCAGAAATGAATCAACTTAAATTCTCTATAGCAAAAGTAAAGGTTTTAAAAATATACAATAAAATTAGGTTTAATTATGAGATAAATGGTAAAAAAATCGAAGAGGTTAATAACATAAGAGATCTAGGTATATACATAGATAACAAGCTAAAGTTTGATCATCATATATCAAAAATTACCAAATCCTCATTTATAAGAATAAACAATATCCTAAGAATATTACCAAAAACATTACCAATAGAAACATATGTAAAAGCATTCAAAACATACGTAAGACCCATTATGGAGTATTCCACCGAAAATTTTAGCCCCAAATTAGAATATCTTAATAAACAATTAGAAAGACCACAAAAAAGCTTTACAAGGAGAATTTTAAGATATAAATACAAATACCAGAAAATAGAATATAACGAAAGACTAAAAAGATGCAAACTCCTTCCCTCCAATCTCCGTCGTATAAAAACTGATCTTATGACAACCTACAAAATAATCATGGGTTTCTATAAAATAAATCCAGAAAAAATATTTTCAAAACCTAATAGAATTAATCCGCGCTTACATAAATATCAGCTATTCAAAAAGCAAGCCAAAAATAATCATTTCTTTTCACATAGAGTCATAGATAGGTGGAATAAACTTCCAAAAAAAGAAATTGAAAAAATCAGTACTATACCGCAATTTAAAAAATTTTTAGACAAAATATTAACCACAGAAGATTATAATTTATGAGTATGAATTAATGGAGTGTATTAACATAAAATCCTAACCCAAATGTTCACTTTCTTACCTAAACAAATTTACTCAACATTTAAATAAAATTAGTTTTAATACAAATATTTTTTATATACCCAAATATACATACCTATATATTTTTTTATGGCATTTAATTTTATACATTTAATTTATTTTTTCTGTGGAGTCCATTATTTATTTTTTTTTTACAACTTAACATTTTTTTTAAAACAGTCATATTTTATTTGTTTTTTTTTTATTGTACGTTACCTCTCCATAAGTGATCCCTGTGGATCCAGGAGTTTTATTTTATTGTTTCACACTTATTTATTTGTGTTCGATAAAGAAAAAAAAAAAAAAAAAAAAAAAGTCTTTGAAAATTAAATTTTTAGAACGAATATTATTTTAATAAATTTTTTGATCAAAAAATATTCCAAAATTAAGTTTATATTAAATTTATTTTACCTGAGTACATAAAACAATAGTTATCTGTCTATTGACCTTTCGCGTAGTTTCTAAATTAGGTCCATTATATTTTCGACGAACATACAGTTGAATTCTTATTCCACAAAAAATAATTATTGAATATGTTAAAAATGTTAGAATATTTGCATAAATTGTTAAAAAGGATGAAATTTTATAACCCTATAAAATTTATAACATGAAATTGAGTTTTTAAGAGGAAAGGAAATTTTAACTTTAAAAATTCTCCATTTGAATTTATCAGGTCCCCATCAGTGCTGGGTATTTGCCATTTGTTGGCTCCGGGCTTTCAAAATCTTGGCTCCGGCTCCAGCTCCGCAGGAGCCGGCTCCGGAGCTAGATCCCGGAGCCATACCCAGCACTGGTCCCCATCTCAATTTATAATTCAATTCAAATTCTATTAAGGATTGTAATAAATTTATATACCGGATTACGAAATCCAACAACATAATTATTTACTGTATAATTATCAAGTTCTAACATTTTAGCCAATTCATAATTTGTTAAATGTTCATTTTCTGGTGTTGGTTGGTTTATTATACTTGATATCACAAAAATAACCATAAGGGGGAGTGTAGAGACAAGAAGTATAATTGTGTGATGTTTCCATTTAATTTTTATTTCACTTAGAGAGTAAATTTAAATTTTATGATATTAATTACGAGGTTAGTATCCGTAAAATTACTGAGGTCCGTATCCGAGATTAAAGAAAACTTTGATACAGACCCGGCAATTTTAAAAGTTCGAACTCTACTAGAAGCAAAAATTCTTTTTTAAGAGGCAAATTAAATTTCACCGAACAACAGCCAGATAACGAAAAATAAATTGAGAACAAATATTCATTATAGTAAATCTGCTAATAAATCCAAAAAACATAAAACAAATAGATTGCCAGGGATTTGGCAAATAATGTGTTGGCCCATATTCCCATACTGTTCCAATACCATTATCAGAAACAAAAACCTTTTAAATGCAAGTTAAATCATTAATTAAAGTAAATGAGGGAAAAATGTTGATTGGTTAGTTTATACCCCAAAATTTTTAGTAAATAATTTAAATATTTTATTTTTATTTTCACATTTCCATCTCACTATCCCAAAAAATTAAAATAACCGGCTGAACAGCAGCAAATACAAAAATTCCAAAAATATCAACAATACAAGTTTGTAAAAGTATTCGATTATAAACTCTCATTTCATTCATTGTATATCGAAGAATTAACCAAATTAGTGAAAAATTAAAAATTAATCCACTAATTACCACACAAAAAGTTAATGCCCTATATATTTCTGTTATCATTTCTAAATCTTAATAAAACAAAAATATTTAGTTATTATTTTAATTTTGTCAAAAAATTCATTTAATTAGAAATTAAATATATAAATTTGTTGGAATGAACAAAAAACCCGTATTGGTATGTATAATTTAAAAGGTATTTTTTAATGTGCCTAAAGTAACCCGGAAAAATTTTAAATTTCAAATCTGTATACTAAATATTTATTTTATTCTACAAATAATTATGTCAATCATAATATTTTTATAAAATTAATGTCTAGAATGCTAACCACAACTAGCTTTTTATTAATTCTAACCTTTCAATTAAAATAAATAAAAAAGTACTTTCTTGGTAAATGAAAAAGTATAAACAAAATATCGTTAAATTTACACCTGTTAACTAATTAAAAAATTTTTTTAAAGAAAATTGCTAGTTTATGTACATCTTTTTAGTAAACAAAATTTAATGTTTACTTTAAAATTTTATTAAAATTTAATTAAATTATGAATAATAAAAAGTCAGGTGGAAAATAATTTTAATATTTATAAAAAATAGAATATTTTATTAAATACCGTAAATACTCTAATACAAGCTTTGGGCTTATTTCAATCGGTCTCCTTAGATGGGCCTATATTATGTAGAGGTGAGCTTCTACAAGAGATGGGCTTATATAGAGTATTTATAGGGATTCCTTTTTGACCATTCCGCTTCCGTCTGCTGTTTCTTGGCCTCTTCTGCCAAAAATACACCTTATTTTTGAAAAAATTGTTCTGGACTTCCAAAATTTTTGTAAATAAGTCTTCTATAATTTTTAACAGTTAATAAAGTTATCTTAAAAATTAATTTTTATTAAAAATATTTTTAAATTTTTTGTTCTGATTAAATCAAGCACGAAGGTTTCTATTTATTTATATTTATAGAGCACAATCTGGATTTTTTAGCACCAGGGTAAAAAATCCAAAATTACATTTATTATTAATAAATTTTATATATAGAATTCCTTTCTAAATTACCCAATATTAAAATTTTTAAAATGCTACATAATTCTAACAATAAGGTAAGAAATGAATATTTGCTTTTACTAATTAAAATAAGCCGTTTTTACAATATTTTTTCTACTATTTTATTTCAAACATTTTAATTATGTATATCAGTATATTTTTCATCATTATTATCAACAAAATTTCATCTTTCCAACTTCCTATTTAACTCGATGGAGGGCCAGTTGTTTGGTGACTCTCAACATACGCGGCTGTTTTTGCCATGAAATTTTCAATTATACTGCAAGGACTAACGCTGCCACCACTTGTTGTTGCTGCACCTCCAGTACTTGATGGTGCCATAGCTCCACTAAAGACTCCTGCCCCTGGAGTTCCAGACATACTTCCAGGCATGCTTCCAGACATACTTCCAGGCATACCTCCACTCATTCCATTAGAACCACCAAATGTAGGCGTTCCTCCTTCAAAAAAATTTTTCAAAAAATTACTTATAAAATTACCATGTCCCTGATATTTGCTAGCCATATTCTTAATAAGTAAGGCTTTAGTAGGTGCGTCAAGTTGTGACAAAAGTTCAAAGAATTTTGTGCATTTATCCCCAAATGTCATATCATTATTTTTGATTACTTGTTGCTAAAAATGATGGTTTTAAATTTTTTAATTAATTTTTTTACGTTAAATTGGTCGACTAGTGTTTTCTGTGAACCATCTTGTAAGCTATTGTCGAATTCTTGGAATGCTTCTTGTCTTTGAGTTTCCATATTCTTTAGTTCTGTACACATTTCCTAAAATATTTTTTGATTGGGGGCACAAAACTTCTTTATTTAAATAATTTTAGTAATTCTAATATGTATTTATTAAGTAATTCTAGTATGTAAAAAATAAAATCCCTACAGTTTGGACGGATTGACCAGCAAGAATTTGAAGGCAAGCATTATTCAAATCATTGGTTGTTTTATTGAAGGATGTCAACATCATCACGATAAAACTTGTTTTAACAGTTGGTGGCAACTTATGGAAATCATTACGAAAAACACTGTTCGCTTTAAATAAATTTTTATAAATTTTTAAGAATTAAGGTGAACACAGGAGAGAATTATAAGAGATTCTAATATAATTTATTTGTATTTATCTAATAGTTTTGTTTATTTCTTAGTAAATTTATTAATTAATATTTTTTTACTTCCTAGACTTCCAGCATTTTGACCAACAGACCCCCCATTAGGATCATCAGAATATTGTGGACGAGCATTTATTGGCAAAGCAACAGACAATAAACTAATTAAAACAATGCTTAGTACAGCCATATTTTAATATTTTTTAAGAAAATATTTTATTTTAATTTTTGAACTTTTGAAATAATATATTCCTCAATTATTTTCTCTTCACTTTTATATTACCAATTTATTTATTGTTTTTAATTTAAAATAATTTTTTTTTAAATTTTTAAGCAGATTTAAGATTTTAATAATTTTGTGTCTGAACAAAAAAATATTTTTAATAAATTAAAAAATAAAAAAAACAGGATAAGTATATTTTTTAATTGAAGAGATTATTATTTGTTTTTTTTAATTTATTTTTAATTGGTCACATTATTTGTTTTGTTTTAATTTAATCTTTAAATTTTTTTGAGATTAAAATTTTAAACTACAATATTTATTATCAAAACATTGTTAATCTTTTTGTTTTAAATTTTGTAATTTCTTTTATTTTATAAAAGTTCTGAATTATATTTAAATGAAGTTTAGTTTAGACTGGGCAGATATTGACTACCAATCAGTGGTTAAATCGAGTTTTAGTACGGGCTTCCAAACATCCCTACCGACTGAGTTACTGGCTGCCCAGAAGCGTTTTAAATACTAGCTAATTGGATCTCCATGCTTTAAGATCTGCCATTATAAGCACTTTTCTACATTAAAACACTCCATTTATTAATGCTTCAAATACTCTAGATAAGGTTTATTTATCAGTACTTACTATTATTAATTATTTTTCTCACCTTTATTTTTTTCAACTAAATTTTTAGAAAAATTTTTTCATTAATATCCACATGGAATTTTCACCAATATGTAGTAATTCAAAATATCTATATAATGTCATTATTACTTTAATTATTGCTCAAACATCATTTTAAAAATTTTTTTTCTATTTTTATATTTATTTTAACCTTTATTTCAAAATTAGCTTTAAATGATTAAAAAACAAAGCTTTATTTAAATAAAAACTTTATTTACAATTAAAGTTTTTATTAAATATTAAATGTTTTTTAATCATTTTAAGTTTATTTTTTTATTTATTTTAACCTTTCCGGAATTAAATAAATAAACGTAAATTAAGGTAATTATTATGTAAATAAATGTTATTTTTGATCTTTTGTTCTTAAATATAAAAATAAATATTTATTTTAAAAGAATTATTTATATTTTCTTTTTAAATAAAATTATTTTTTGCATTAATATTTTTTGCAATATATTTTCTTTTAGTATTTTTATTGTTTTTAATGCCATACTAAAAAAAAGAGAAGAAAAATGACAGGAAATGGAGCGCATGCAAGCGGAAATTCTTTGCTTTCTATTTGGACACCCTGAGGCGTAGAAGCTATATTTAGGGGGTTTGTAAATAAGACAAATTGAAACTTTGAGAAATAAATTTTGGAGAAATTAATGGAAAAATGTCACATTTTTGAAGAAAATTTAATTTTTTTGTGACAAATATTAAATCTAAGAAAAATTTTTATTAATTTGTTTAAAAAAGGATATCAAATAAATAATTTACTAAATTAATTCTTTGCATTATTTAAATCAAAAAATATTTATTTCCTTTTATTATTTTCTTTACGGAAATCCTTCCTATTCTAAAACATATCTCTTGGGAATTTCTAATTGCGGCGTTTAAAAAAGGACAAAAGATTATATATATATATTTAAATTGTACAAAAACTTTCAAAAAATAATTTGTTAATAAATTATTTGACAAATTATTGCCATTAAATTAAAAAAATAAAAATTCCCACAAAAATCCATTTTTTAAATTCTAAACTTTAATGAAGATTTTTATTTAAAATCAAAACTTTTAAAATAATAAAAATTAATTTTAAATTACATTTTTTATTTATAAAAATACTTAATTTTATTTAAAATTTAGAAAAATTTTAGAATTTTTGATTTTTATAAATTTTTTTAGTTAAAAATAGAAAATATTAAAAATTAATTTTATTTAAATTATTTTAGTCCTTTTTTTAACTAAAAAATTTAAAAAAATAAAAATTTAATTGGATAATTATTTTAAAATTATTTTTTTTGCAAAATATTTACTTTTCATGCAAAAATAAATAAATATTAACAACTTAAACCAAACAATTCTTTCAAATATATTTTAAATATTAAAAATAATATTTATTTATTTACTTTTTGTTAAATAAAATGCTAAAAAAGTATTTTTATTTTCCGGTATTATTTTCCCAATAAATTTTTTATAAAAAGGTGGAAAGAAAAAATATTTAAGTAATCGTGGGCGGTGGCAAAAAACCTTTAAAAAATAAAAGAAAATTATTTAAATATTTTATTATTTAATTTATTTTTGAACTAAATTTCTAGTTTTTTATTAATTCATTTATATGTACATATTTAAATGTAAAATTAAAATAAATTTTTAAATTAATTTTAATATTTATTTTTGTATTTAATATTTATTCTAATTAAATTTTATTTTAAGAAAATTAATTTTTATTTGAAAATTTTTTGAAATAAATTTTTAAATAAAAATTAAATATTTAGAAAATAAATTTAAAACATTGAAGGAAGTAATTAATAGTTAAATACCGCAAATTCCTTAAAATAGCCCCTGGAGACTATATTTTGAACCCTCATGTGTGCGGACAAATAATTTCCTGCCTATTCTTAGAGAGAGTGTTTCAGATAAAATTTATTTAAAAACAATTTTATTTACTGTTGTGCCACAAGTCGAAAATTCTTCAGTGATAAGCTTAATCACCTCCTCGTTTAATAAATCCTCCATCCAAAACTTCCCTTTTAAATTAAAAATAAAAATAGAATTTTATATTAAAAATAAAACTCAAAGAATTTTCAATTAGATAAAAATTATTTCAAATATTTGTTTTTTGTTTCTCTTTTTGTATTTAGAACAACTAAATATTTAAAATTAAACAAATTTTGTTTTATTTAACAAGAATTTTTAATTAATTTTTGTTATATTTTTAAATATTCAATATTTTTTTATTAATTTAGTTAATTGATTTTAAATAAATGGAGGAAGGGGGGGGGTGGAGGGAAGCTATTTAATTCTGGAAATTAAATGTTGCAAAAAAGGAAGAGGAAATTAGTATGCATAAATGTGAGGGCTTCCTCCATTCTCTTTTTTCTTCCAAAAATTCAAAAACAAATTTTAATTTCAACATTTTTAGATGCTTGGATAAAAAAAATATTTTTTTTTGTTAAAATTAAAATGAATTTTTATTGTTTTTTTTTATTTTATTTATTTATTCACGTAAAATCAAAGGGCACAAATTCAGTAAAAAATATATATATTGTTTAAAAATAAAATTTTTTTAAATTTAATTATGTAAATTAATAAAAATAGCTGAATATTATTATATTATCTTCTTTTTTTATTTAATTTAAATAATTCTTTTTTTAAATTAAAAACTAAAAATAAATATTTATTTTTTAATATAATTATGCAAATTAAATTTTTTTCCTTAAATAAATGTCAAAGAAAAGTTTTTATTTAAATAAATTATTTATTTATTTACTCTTTAAATAATTATTTTTTTTGTTTTGAGTTACAATTATTTTTATTTATTTTTTTATTCTTTTATTTAATTTGTATTTTGTGTTTTAGTAATTGTTTTTTTGTAATTAATTTAAAAATAAAAATATTTTTTGATGGAATTTTTTAAAATTAATTTTGCTTCGTTCTATCAAATAATATAACACCCCCCATTTAGTGTTACTGTGTAATTAATGCCTACACTGATGACTGCAAACTCCCTCCATAATTATCGACATTGATGCATCTAGATCAGGAGTGCACACAATTGTGGATTGCGTGTTTTTTTGACTTGTGGATTGGAGATCTTAAAAATAAAATTGCGGATTTATCTTCAACTTCTAGCTTAAAATTTCATAAAATTTTAAAAAGCCAAAAAAGGGGCTAACTATGTTTTTCATAATTTTTCTTGAATAATTACCATTTAAAAAGGCGTGGTTCTTTTTTATTTTATTTAACAAGACATATACAATTTAATTAATATTTTCACACACCTCTACTACTTCCTCTTTTTTTTCTTTTATTTTTTATACAACATACTATTTAAATAAAAAAAGTTTTTTTATTATCTTATAAAAAATAAATTATTATAATTATTTATTTAGTCTAAAGTTTTAATTTATCTTTTCTTAGAAATTATTTAAAATTCAAAGGTTGGATAAAGGAATAATTTAACGCTGAATACGCTTCATTTAAAATTCTAAAGTATTGTTTAGTTCTTGTAATAGATACCTAAGTGAACTTAATTTTCCTCGAATTCTTTTTATTAAATATCTCTATTATTTTTAAATTATATTTTCTTTTATTATTTATTTTTTACTTGACTTAATCTCGCCTTAAGGCATTTATGTTCTATTTATGTTAACACTTTTGCTTCACACTTATTTTACCTTTTCCATTCTATCAAAATTTACAAAATTTTAGAAAAATAAATTAAAAAATAAATAAATGAATAACAATAACAATACTATTTCATTACAATTTCTCCAAACTTCAACACCAAAATATTTTTCTTATCAAAAAAATATTTTAGAACAATTAGATTCTTCCCTTTTTATTAATTTAATTCGTTATGGAATAGCTGCAAATGCTATAGGAACAAATGCTTTTATTTTATATTTATTTATTAGGTAATTTTTGGGAGAAAAATAAATTAGGTAAAATTTATTTTTTTTTTAAAAGGTTTCGATCATTACGTTCTACTCAATGCAATTTATTTATTGCTGCAAATGCTGCTGTAGAATTAATTATTGGTAATTCTGATTTTTATTTAGGCTTGTATTTTTTTGAAAATATTTTTTTAAATTCTGTTTCTTCTTGAAAATAATAATTCTGAAATAATTTGGTTTATTTTGAATATTCTGATTTTTTTATTTAATTTAGACATCCATTTAGGTATTCCAATAAACCCTATTAATTTAACAATAACACAGCTAAACGCCATAAATTCCCTAAACGTCAAACAAAAAAATATTTTCATGACGAATTTATTTATATAAAAATAAGCCTTAACAATTAATTTATTCAACAATAAATAATTTAAAAAGGTTTTGGCACAGCTTTGCGTGGTTCTTTTCAACTTTATGTTTTGGCTAATTCTATAATGAAGTTTAGTCATTCCCTTTGTGTTTGGATTGGGGCTCCATTAACTGGAGGCTTTGCTGCTAACCAAATAACAATTTTAATGTTAGCTTTGGATAGACTTGCTGCTGTAGCACGTCCTCTAAAATATGGAAATAAAAATAAAGTAAATAAAAATTTAATTTTAATTATGTAAATCTCTTCAAATTTTTCTGTTTTTTAGTCGTTAGTTTTTGGATCTCTTTTTCTTTCTGTAGCCGTTTTTGTGGGAGCTATATGGCTTTCTTTATGGGGAATTGATGATTCTCAGTCTTCTTCTACACAATGTTCTATGGGTATTAATGCTGGACCTTTATTTTCTGTTATTTGGTCGCTTTTTGCGCAGAGCAGTACTTTACTTGTTTTTGGTTAGTAATTGAACTTATTGGGGCCGATATTAAACTATGTATTTTTCGTAACTTGATATTTATGGATATCTACCGTTTTCTGTCTATTACCATTGAACTTCTCTCAAAAATAAATTTTCGGTCGACTCAGATCCGAAGCTAACCACAGTCTGTGGATACCTTTAGTGACCAAAAGATATCTAATAAAAAAAGTCGCTTTTATAGAGAATTCACTATATAGAGGATTTTTAATTTTTAAATTAAATTTTTACAATTTTAAGGTCTTTACATTTCAATGCTTGTTATGTTTTATATGCAAACGGGAAAATTAAATGTTTATTCTAGACATAAATATTCTATTTGTAGTGTAAATCTGTGGAGTATGCCTAGAAGTGAAAGTCAACAATTAAATATACAACAAAGACAGCAACGAAGGGTACTGTGGAATTTTCAAAAAAAATTTTTTTAATAAAAATTCTCTCATTCTTATAGTTAACAATTTCTGTTGCTCTTATTTTACTTCTTTACACAATTTCTTGGGCTTTACCCACAGCAATATGGTTTGCATTCAATGTGAGAATTATTTACACCGCAAGGGTGTGAAGTTAAAAAATTATAATTTATTCAAAAATTTTTATTAGATTTTGGATCACGAGGATCGAACAAGAATTAATTATGTTACTTTTTTACAAGGATTTTTAACACCTTTTGGGGCTGGCATTAATCTTTACATTTATTTGTGGAAACATGCTGAGATTAGGTGGAAATTCTGTTATTTGTTTTTATTTGGAATGGGTTTCCTTCCCTTTTTTGAGTCCAATGTCTTTGGACAGATGACCACATCCAATAATTATTTTTCCAGTTAAAATCCATTCTTTTAAATGGCGGCCTCTTTAAATTTTTTGCATAAATATTTTTTAATTTTCTCAGAAATTCTGCTGTCTCCACAATTCCTTGGCTTAAAAATATTTTGAGAGAGGAAATGATTAATCCAGTTCCATCAAGTCTTTTGAAAAGAAGTGGTTCTTCTTTAGGCGTTGAAAGAAACCAATCAGACAACAGAAGAACAATTGAAATGGTTTGTTTTTTGAATTAAAAATTAGTAAATAATTCCATTTATAATCCAAAAAATATTCAATAATTTTTTGAATAATTGAGGTTTAATAAACATAATTATTAATTTAATAACCTAAATTTTCCGTACAAAATCTAAAAAAGAAAGGCATAATTTAGCAAGTTTAAAAATAAAAATGGCGAGATCTTAGCTCAAATATAATTTCAGAATTTTTCCATTTTATTAATTAATTATATATTTATGTATCTAACAATTTTTTCAGAGATTTTCATTCGTAGCTCGAAATTCAAAAATTCGAACTCCTCTTCTAACAAATACACAACAAAATACATCATTAATATTGAAAGGAAATTCTTCTTCATCTGACAATACAAATAATGAAAATGAAAGATGACAACAATTTTATTTAAATTATTATTTATTTAAAAAAATAAATTCTTAGAAAAAAAGAAACTTTTTTTAGAAAAAAAAAGAATTTAAATTAAATTTGTTGAATAATAATTAAATTTGTTTATTTTTATACATTTAATTTCTATCTATAAAAAAGAGAAATTAAATTAATTTAGAAATTTAATAATAAAAGTGTTATTGGAAAAAAAATTTTTTTCTAACCATTTAACAAAAATAAATTAGAGAATAATATAGATTTAAATCACTTAGAATTATGAAAACCGAAAATTTTTAAAATAATTTTTCTACTTAAATAATTATCAGAACATAGAAATTTTAGAGAATTCTGAATATAAAGAATATTTAAGTCAACACAGATAAATACAATAAATTTTCCATAAATCAGAAAAGGACCCTAACATGTTGTTAATTAAAAAATAGGCCGATTAAAAAATAAATAAAAATTCTAACTAACAAATACATAGCACCATTATTAAATAATCTTCAAAATGTTATGCATTTAAAATAAGCCAAATTTGTTCTTGTCCAGGTGCACAAATTATTAAACGTTGTTCTTCTTCGTAATGACGTTCGGCGAATGAATTTAAACTTGAAAAAGCATTGCAAACTGCACGACGTATAGGTTGTAGAAGAATTTCTTCAGTTTCACGCATTCCAATATAGAGACCGAAAGCGGCACGAACCTTAGAAGAAAATTTGGAGAAAAAAATATTCTGAACAGACAAATATCCTTTAAAGTCTATCGGAAGTAGCCAGACTTAAATATTTAATAATTTATTATCTTATAATTTTTAAACAACTCCAACAGTTATTTACTATGATGTGTTAAGAAAAAAATAGAGCAAAGGGGAATATGTAACTATAGAGAGGGTAGGAATTTTAGAAAAAATTTGAATATTTTACCAAAGGGAAAGGATCAAAAAATATAATTAATTTACTTGAGGCCAATTTTGCTTCAATTGCTTGAAAGCTTGTGAACATCTATCATTCAAAGCCCGAGGGTTATATCGCTCAGAAGATGCAACATCCAAAGGAGCGAGTTCATTTTTTGCCCGCTGTTCTTGCTCATTCTAATATAAAATATAATAAAATAATAAAATTAAAAATAAATATTTACTTGAAATTGATCTAATTCTGATTGAAAATTGGCTAAAGGGCCCAATAAAAGATCAGAAATGTGAACAATCATTATATGACACCAACGTTTTAAATGTTGCTCGATGATGCGTCTAGAATCTGTTTGTAATTCGCTAACATGGACAGGTGTCTGAAAATTTAAGAAATCTTTAAATTAAAATTTTAAAAATCTCAAATTATAGTTAAGAGTTGAGATTTTTAGATTTGTGGCTGAGGAAAAGAGGGAATTGATGAAAAGCGTAGATACAAGAAAAATTGTTCTGGATATTTTTGAATAGAAAAAAGTGAAAAAGTAGTGTGAGCTCTCGATGAGATCCAATTAAAAATATTTAGGAAAACAAAAAATTACAAACCAATAAAAGAAGCGATAAAAGTGCATTGTTTGTACCAAATTCAAACCATCTAGCACGATTTTCAGGATTTAATAACTAAAAAATTAATTTTAAATTTAATTTTAAAAAAATTAAAAATCACTTGTAGCATCGATTGTGTATATTTACTTAAATCTAATTGATAATCCAATTGTGGGTGAATTTGTGTTTCTTCTATTTGTCCAATGCCTATTCCAGATCCTGATGACAAAACAGAATTTGAACGTGTTAATGTCTGCATAGGTGGTTGTTTTTGTTTTTGGTGTTGACGGTAAGGACTTGTTTGTTCACGAAGAATAAGTAAATGTTTAATTATAAATAATTCTGAATCAATTGTTCGATTTGGAGAATTTTTTATTGTGGAACGGGCTAAAAAAGAAAAAAAAGTTGATTTATATATTATCAATGGAAAAATAAAATACCTGAATCAATAGGCAAGGCTCTAATACGTTCCACAGCATGTTCAAGTGATTGACAACATGAATCAAGTAATTCACGAGAAACATTCATAAAGACAGTGGGCTAAAAATACTTTTTAGTAATTCCAACAAGATTTATTAACATTTAAAAACTGGCAAGATCCCAAAGTTAATTTTCGATAACCGCGAAGCAAGACCCGAAATTAACTTATTTTTAAAATATCCAACTCAAAAAGTCAATATAATAATGGTATAATCCTACTTACATCCAAACAACGATATAACTTGCTAAGGCACATCACAGTCCTTTTAACTGTTGGATACCTAAATATAAAATGAAAAAAAGATTGATTAAAAATTATCCAAACCAAAGACAATGTTGGTCAATAGGCGATGTACTTGCTTGTTTTGTCAATTTTACATATCCAGTACCAGGCTTTTTAGCTGGAGGTAAAGGACCAATTGTCTCGCAATCTTCAACTTGTTCATCCAAACTATAAAAAATTATTTTTTATTTAAAAATAAATTCAAGGACAACTTTTTATTTTGCTCTTTTTCAATTTTCCCAGTATCTCCATCATTTATTTTTTGCATCATTAAAAGTCGTTCAGGATAGACTAAATCGCCGGATGCTGGATTATAATCGAGAATATCAGATTTAGCAAATAACGAGGTTCTAAAAGGAATTAATTAAAAAATATTTTTAATTGAAAACCTGTAAACAATTCGTTCAACAATATCAGCAACCAATTCATTAATTACTCTAATAAAACCAATTCGAGAAATTGATGTTTGTTGTTGTTGTAATGATGTAAAATCAACTGCTGCTGAATCAGGAGTTTGTCTAAGTCCGCAACGTTCATCTATCATTTCTACCTGAAAACAGATGTCAAGAAAACTAAATAAGATATGAACTTTGGGAACGCTAACAATAAGAAAGGAAACCTAGGAACTGCATAATTGTCCAATTTCTTGAAAACTGGACAACAAAGACCCTAACTTCCAAAAAATATATAGAACTTACTTTAAGTAAAGTACAAAGTTGTGCAAGTGTTTCCAAATGTTGATTATGAATTATAAGTGGGCGTAAAGTATCATAAAATATTCTAGATATATTTTCTATAAAAGAATGGAAATGTTGAGCAGAAGAGTGTTGCTCGTTTGAATAGAGAGGCCAAAATGAAAATAATGAGGGTGAAGAAGGGGTCATCGCTGTCCTACAAGAATTTAAAACAATTTTCATAATTCTAAAAATTCCAACTTTGTTCCCTGATCAAAATCCAAAACAAAAAATTGTTTGTATAAACGCAATTCATCATCACAAAGGCGAAGAAGAAAAGTACATCCATCTCTAGTTAGAGTACAAGAAGAATTTTGATGTCGAAGGCATAGAGCCTAAAAAATAAATTTAAAAAAATAAATTTAAATAAAAAATAAACTTGTAAAGTTGCTTGCACAATTGGTCGAAGTAATTGGTTTCTAATAGAAAAATATTCTTGTTCACATTCAGAAACGATTGTTTGATATTCTGGATATGTAGCAAAAAATTGAAATGCTTGTTGGAATGCATTTCTTTAAAGAATATTAATTTATAATAAGGAATTATTATTTAAAAGATATTAAAAAATAAAATGGAAGGGTAAGAAGTGTCAAAAATATTAAAATAACCGTAGAAAGATAAAATTTAAACTAGCTTCATTTTAATTGACAAGGTTCAAAACACATTAACTTACTTACAAGGAAAGGTTGCGAGGTGTCCGACCTAAAAACGGTCGAGACCGGGCTCATTCGATAGAGAATTTGCCCTTTCTAGCAAGGATTTTGATATCATATCTCGGCCAGATCAAAAAAGGGCAAAAACAGTTCAAAATCCTTGCTAGAAAGGGCAAATTCTCAATCAAATGAGTCCGGTCTCGACAGCTTTTAGGTCGGACACCTCGCAACCTTTCCTTGTTAAGATTCCCCAAATTTTTTTGTATATTTTAAGATTATTTATTTGAACTTAAAATATACCTAATAGCATTAGCCTTTACTCCAAATATTCCATATAACAAAGCAAAAGTATCATCATTATCCACACAAGATAAAATTCCTGGACGTCCACTTCCATCTTGTGAAGGAGTTGTAAATCTTTAGAAAAAACAATTTTAAAAAATTAAAAGAAAAGAGAAAAACCTAGATTGTCTATAAAGAACATCTTGCCGGCAAGATTCTAAATCAGCCAATACTCCTGCCTTTATGGCTGTTAAAGAACTAAAAAAAATTTTTGGTTAAAAAATAAAATTAAAAAATAACCGGCTAAGGCATTGTTCGTATTTATGAATATATTGCTCTGCTTCGTTCTGTTCTGGATGTGCACGTAAATAACTAATACATTCATGAATTGTTGAAAGAATTTGTGTGAATAAAGTGCCGGTTAATGATAATTTTGGGGTAGCTAATTTCTAAAATTAATTAAAAATTAAATCTAAAAATTAAAGAAAAGAGAAATCCAAGGACTATTTAAACATGACTGGAATTTTGAAAAAGAGAACTCAACTTTTATTTTACTTTTATTTTAATTTCTCAAATAAATTTTTAGAAAATAAATTCATCAAAGTAAGAAAAATTGATTAATCTTTCGGAACAAAAACCCTCGGATTTAGACTAACATAAGCCCAAAAAACCTAGACAAACCCCCCAATTTAAAAAATTAACTTTAAGTAGCCAATCATATTGTTGATAATAATGAAGACTGGCACTAATCGATTCATTTGCAGTAGCTAGTTGTGTTTGTTCTGACATCATTCTATCACAAGCATCGTGTAAAGATGAAGTTTTGTCAGTTACAGAATTATATTTTTCTCCCAATTCTTTAAGTATCTTTTTAAAAAAATCTTTTAAAAATTATTAAAAATCACTCAAAAACCTGTTCACATTTTTCTCTTTTTTCTTTTAAATTTTTTAATTTTAAACTGCAACGTTGTAATTGAATTAAATAATCATCCCAACTTTCATTTTGTAATAAATCATTATTTAAACCAACATCAAGTTCAAATTGCCCGACAGAAATTAAAGAATTTAAAAATTCTTCACTAGCAAAATTCTTCATATTCTTCTTCTCAGAATTATCTTTATTTAAATTTCCATCAATTTCTTCAAAAGGATAATTTGAAGCTTTTTCTTCTAATAATTCTATTGTTTTTTGACTTAATTGGGCAAACATAATTTACTTTAATTTAATTAAAGCTGATAGAAAAATCCAAAACAATCTGCCAACAAGAAAAAAATATCAGCTGTCAACGTTCATTGAACGCCAAAATTGAGTGTGGAGGAAATAAGAGGCCGTTTGAGTGCCAGAGGTGCAAGTAAATAATTTTTGGAACTACGGCAATTTGAGAGAATTTTAATTCACAAAATTTGTTTATTTTTAAAAGGAGTCCTAAATTCATTTAATTTTTTTCAGTTTAAACAAGGTGTCATTTTCAATTAAAAATAAAATTTTTTTTGTTAATTTAACAGAACTTTTAAACAACTTCCCCAAAAAAGCAATTTACTCATAAAATCAAATGTTTAAAAAAATTTAGTGAAAAATAAATTTAAAATAAAAACACAGAATGAATAATTTGTTTGAATTACAAAAATATTCTGAAAATTTTCTAAACATTAAATTTCAATAAAATTTAGAAATTTTAAATTTTTTCATTCTGTGGTCAAAAAAATAAACATGTTGTGTAAATATATGTATGTACATTTTATGTTGAAGTTTTTAATTTAATTTTAAATTTTGCAAGAACGTTTTTAAAGTCCTTTAGAATTTTTTCAGTTAAAGTTAATCTTTTACTTCAACAATAATATAAATTGTTAGAAAATAATAAAAAATATATATGTCAAACTCCATGGGGTTTGTTTGAATAATTTGTACAATTTTTGGGATAATCCAAAACTTTAAAAATTTTGTTTTTTAAATAAATTTGAGGGGTTAATGGAATCACTTGTTGGAATTACTTTAAAAAATAAAAATAAAATTTAGAATAAAATCGGGTCAGTCGTTTTGTTTTCCACATCAACACCCACCATCCTTACAATCTTTTTTCTCAGTTATGCATTTCAGCATTAAAATTTTCAATTTTGCCGCGCATCTTTCCAGAATTATCCTTCTCAGCTTTGAAGTATGTTGCACCAACTTTTAATTAAAAATTAATAATTATCTGAAAAATAAGTTACCATTCATTTTAGCTTTAAATTTCCCATCTCCTTCATTTTCTTCACTAAATTCGTGGGCATTTTCAAAATTCTCAATCATTTCCTCATCACTGCTTAAAGAACTAAAATCTGAGTTAAGACGCTTTCCACGGTTTGATTCTTTTCCTTCACGATGGAATTCCTTGTCTACAAATTTATTTAATTTTAATAATAATAAAAATAATTGTTAACCTTTATCTGCAGAGTTAGATGGACAAAAGAAGTAATGAGTTATGAAACAGAAAGCATGTTTAAATTTGTCCATAAACCAATGGCTTTATAAATTATAATAGAATTTAGTAAGTGATTAATGTGAGGCATTATAAAACTACATATGTATTTAATTCTCAATCCAAACCTTTTGTGTTCCTTTACTTTGGGTGTTTTCTTCTCTTCTTCAATAACCTTTGGAAACTTTTTTTCATCCTTTACCTTCTTCTCTTTCTTATTTTCTTCCTCATCTTTATCATCTTTTATCTCAACTTCTTTCTCTTTCTCTTCTTTCAAATCTTCAACTTCCTCATCATTTTTTGTTGATTTTACTTCTTTTGTCTTCACAGGCTCATTGCTAATTTTATCTTCCTCTTCCTTTGTCTTTTCATTCTTTAAAACTTCTTTTTCCTCAACTTCCTCATTCTTGTTTTCTGTTGCTTTCTTTTCTTCCTCCTCAACATTTTCTTTGTTTACTTTACCGGCCTCAGACACTTCCTCATTCGTTGTCTCTTTACGATCCTCGGAATCTTCCTTTCCTTTAGTTAAATCTATCACCTCTTCTGGCGAGTTGATTTCTTTTTTTGTTTCTACAATTTCATGACCTTCGGCCGGGAATGTTACTCCATTTTCTTCTTTTTGATTCTTTTCTTCTAGGGAAGCATTTTCAATACTTTTAGCTGGTTTCAAACTAGCTTCGAGACCTGTTTGAATAGAAAATTAGAATTGACGTGTGGATTTTAAGTTGGGTTTCTATTATCAAAAAAGCAACTTACTAGTATTCTCTTCATAGTGTTTAGCTTCAGTAAAATTGAAGGCTAACAACAAAATTAGGCCTATAAGGCTCTTTTTAAACAGATTTTCTTTCATTTACGCAATAAAAGTTAGTTGACTTTTTGGGAAGTTTTTTAGGAAAAATTTTTAAATGAAGATGTTTAGTGTTAGACCCTCTAATTTGAATACCCTTCGAAAGGGGCGTTTCTTTAGAAATGTATAACACGTAGAGATGTTGGGAAGTGATAAGAGAAGAGATAGAAGGTAAGGGATGAAAAGAAAATATAGATTGATACGTGGATTTGCGACATTCGATTAATCAGTCTTATCCTCTAAGCAGGCATTTTGGCCATAGTGTAGAGAGAAATGTAGAGGGATGTGTAGAGAAAGAAGACAATGCCCTTAAAGAGAGAGGGACTTCCTCCCATTCCTCCCCCCCTCTCTCTCTCTCTCTCTCTCTCTCTCTCTCTCTAAAAGGGCAACATCTCCCTCTTCCCTTCACTCTACATTAAATTCATATGGCCATAATTTCAAAATCCAATCACGATTTCCCACATCCTCAATAATCGATAGCCTTGCGCATGATGAAAGAGCATGTGCCTTTTAAAAATAAATTTTTTATAAATAAAAGTGCAAGTTTTTAATTTTTTTATTAAATTTAATTTATGAAAAATAATTAAATTATATTTTTAAAATAATATTTGGAAACTGGCATTCCTTCTTTATTCACGCCGGGAATATCTGCCTAAATTCGAAAATTATTTTTTTCAAAAATCTGAAAATTTTTGAACGTCTGAAATGGATCTTTGACTGACTTAACTTTTTTCCAACAATTTTCTATTACTTTTTTATTTTCATCCTCATCTTATTCTTGAAAGCTGGTCAGTCTACCGTAGAGCTATAACGAACTGTTAAAATTCATCGACTATGTTGAACTTGTCAGGGCTGACACTCATAAGTCTAGTTAGTGAAGGTCTTATAAGCCAGTCTATCGACGCTAGACTGTTAAATCGAGGTTACACCAAATTAATCTTCGCATTATCAATTTTTGACAATCTTTAGTGAAATTTTAATTTAGTTTAGAAGTTAATTTAGTTTAAAAAAGAAAGCTTTATATAAAATAAAAGAATAATAATTTTAAAAAGTAAATAATATATGTACATATAAACAAAATTTAAATAATTTTCAAATTAATCTAATTTTTTATTTCTTCATTTAACTCATTTGAGTATTTGATAAAGTATCGTCAGCAAGAATGCGTTTTAATGTTGGAAATGAAGACCGTGCACATTTTCTTTAAAAATTTATTTAAAATTAAATTAATTTATTTTATTTTTACCTAATTTCGGCATGTCTCCACAAATAAATATATAAATTAATTCCTGCTCCAAATGGAGTCAAAAAGCCTTGAATATAAGTAACTGTATTGATTCTGGAACGATTTCCATAGTCGGTAACCTTTATAAAAAGAATTTTTTAGAATTGAAATTTGTGTTTAATGAAAGGAAGATGGGATGTCCTTAATGTTCTTAATTTTATAGCTGGTTTAAAGCTAAAAGACACAAAACTATCATATAAAATCCTTACAATGAAAAGGAACCAAATAGCTGTTGGAAATGCCCAACAAATTGTATAAATTAACAAAATTAATGCCACTAAAAGGGTTAAACGCATTTGTTGTTTTTGTTGTTGATTTTGATTTGTATTTAAATTTACATTACTTTTCCTTTTTGCTTCCCAAGAATTTGTTGTTGTGTTGTTGGTTATAGTATTTAAATTAGTTACAACAGGACTATTTTCTCCATTTATTTGGACCATTTGTCTGGGGGATGGAGCAACTTGAGTTATTTTTGTTTTTGTTGTTGTGCTGAGGAAACGACGATTTTGTCGGTAGAAGAGAATAAGCATTCCAATATATGTGCCTATTAAAATTAAATAAAATTATAGAAGAGCATTGACTGGAAATTTAAAAATAATTGTGAGGGATAGAAGAATAATTATAGGGGGTTGAAGTGATATGTATTAATGCGTCTTTCCTTATTCATTCACTCTAGCCGTCACTTCCATAGAAAATGGGAGAAAGCAACAAACTTAAGAATGATTCCAATCTGTTTAATAATCCACAATTCCTCAAAAAAGTTAAAAAAACCGGCAAATTAATTATTTTTGGTTTTGTTGTTGATTATCCCCCCTCCTTCTATAGAATGACGGGGGATATTCTAAAATAATTCTCCTACAAGACCTACTAAAAACTGAAAATGTAATAATCTGCGCGTAGATAGACCAAATTGTGGCAAAAAGAGGGCCAGCATTTGCTCCCATAGAGCATTGATGTGAGGGTGTTGATTCATCTATTCCCCATAATGAGATGAAAACAGCGCCAATAAAGATTAAAATAATTAGAAGATAACAAGTGTAGATGAATGGCTAGAAAAAAATTTTTTTATAAATAAAATGGTTTGAAACTGAGATTTTTGGGAATTTCTTAAGGATAGTGTGTTTTGAGTAGATCTTAGAATCCCCAATCCCGGATAATGTAAAAAAATCATTTTCTTCATAATGATGGAATTAAAAGAAATTGCGAGAAATACTAGGAATAATGGATAAAAAAAAGATTTTCGACAAAAATTTTTAATTTATTTCTCTAAAAATTATTCACTTTATTTTTCTTTCCATAAGAAAAAGGTCTAGCAACAGCAGTCAGTCGATCCAACGCCAATCCCAAAATTGTTACTTGATTGGCTGCAAAGCCTCCAGTCAAAGGAGAACCAATCCAAACACAAAGAGTATGGGTAAATGAAGTTAAAGAGACAGCTGAAGTATAGATTTCGAATGTTCCACGGGTTGCTAGTCCAATACCTTTTTTTAAATAAATAAATTAAAATAAATTTTTAAATATATTTTATTTACCAATAATCATTTCAATAACAGCATTTGCAGCTATTAGCAGATTACATTGGGTATTTCGAAGAGAACGGTGTCTAGAAAAGATTAAAA